AGGCAAAGCCCAAACAAGTCCATGTTCACTCACTTCACTCGCTCACCAAAGCTCCAAAAACCCCCTATTTGGTAACGTTGTCCATTCATCCATCCTAATAAAATATCTTCTTAAAAAACAATTAAAATTATAAAATCAATATTTTTGTGTGAGAACTAAGAATTTAAGACCCTAACATAGACTTGTTTTGGCTTGCCTCGAGGGGCGTGGCACAAAGGCAGCTCGTAGAATCAGGAATGTAATATGTTTTACATCACATTAGCTACTTGAAGTAATGTAATTGAGAAACAAAAGAGATTATGGGTTTTACATGCTTGAAAATGTTTTATATGTTTGATTTTATTTTTAAATTCTCATTTGAATATGCTTTACAAGTTATGTTTATGTATTTTAATTTTAGATAATAGGTTTTTTAAAACATTTATTTTAAAATTTACGTTCGTAATTTTTATTAATATTATGTTTAATATTTTTTGCCTTTTTTCACTTTTTTAAATTTTTAGCAATTTTTTTTAATTTGTCGACATTTTTTATTTTTTAGCTTATTTTTATTTTTGCGCCTTGCTTCAAAAAGGCGCATGCCTCACCTTGCACCTTGCACTTTTAAAACACTGATTAAGAACCTTCCACAAATGTCTCCAATTTTTTTTAAAGTCAATGATCCCCAAGCACGCAAGGGAATTCCCACCACTCCAATCCACACTGTTCTTTTTATCCTTCCATTAAGAATCCCTCTTGCTGTTGGAAACCACCAACCTAACCTTAAGTCTGATTCCTCCTCTTCTCCCTCTCTGACTCTAGAACCCAAGCCACAACCTCTCTCCTCTAAAACATAAATAGAAGCAAGCCCCCAGCCAAATTTCTAACACCCACAACTCTTTCATTACTCCATTCAAGCTTCGCCCAAGCTTCAACTGTTTTCTTCTCCAACTCGAAGCCCACAAACCTACCAACAAGACATGCCTCCAAAACCTTCAGCTTCTCGTTCAAGTTTTCTTCTTGTCTCACATCAACCTGGACCACACCGACCTCTTCGTTCTTTGATACTCTTCACCTTCATCTTCAAGCCATGTATTTTAGGTCACACCTTCACCTTCAGTGGGGTATCCAGCTGCATGTAGAAGCATCCATTGGATGAATGATAACTGTGCCCAACCTTTTTTTAATACTTTTCTTGTTTGTTCATATTTTCTCCCACTCCTTCATATCCAATAATGTGTTTGAAGGAAGCAACACTTTGACCTTATACACTCTACTTCATGGGTTGTCATCTGGACTTTGTGGAGAGAGAGAAACTGCAGAATTTTCTATACCAAACCATCTCAAGCTAATGAGGCCTTAAGAAGTGTGATGGAGTCAAACCATCTCAGGCCTTAAGGAGTGTTTGTCTTCAAATGGCCCAGTGAGCTAGAATGTGAAGAAATATTCTTGGGTGAAAACAATGTGTTTGTTCAACCCTTTCTCTTCTGATGGCATTCTAAGATGTCAGCAGATAATTGTAAACTCATCTATTATGAGGGTTGTGGACCTTGTGGTACATCCTCAATGGGAACCTCCTCTAGTTCAATATATCAAACTTCATTTTGACGGCTGTAGTAAGGATAATTCAGGTTTTTCAGGCTTTGGAGTATTCAGAAATTGTATGTGGGACATTTTCACTATCTACTCAAGACCAGCAGGTTATGGCAATGTAATTTGAATAGACTGGCAAATGCAGAAACCATACCAACATAATCATTGAGGGAGATCCCAAGGTGGTGGAGGGATGGGTACAGAGTGAGGAAAGATGTCCTTGGGTGTCCAAGAATGTACTGAAGGAGATAAAAGAATTAAAAAGAGACAGGGTAATTAGTCTGAATTAGGTGTACAGACCTGCTAATGGTATGGCTGATGGGTTAGCAAAACAATGGGTGGAAAGGAGGAATCTTTTTGGGGGTGATGGGAGTACATTTTGATGTCTTGTTGAGCTGTTCTTCCCAACCTCTCTGATTCCAGCTCGTAAAATTTAATTTCTGATTATAAAATTGCTATTGTTGCTTATCAAAAAAATATAGTCTTGCCTTTTGTATTTCATTCCAGAGAACACACCTTGTTATTATTGTGCAGTCCCTCACTGTATGGCTTGTTAGGGGTTTCAGTTTTTCTCACCCCTCCAATGAATATGTCATACTTTCTCAGAGAAAAAAAAAAAAGAAGAAAAAAAATATATGGGATACCCATACCCCATATCCATGTCCAGAATTTTAGGAAATGGAGAGTTAAATCTCTATTTCTAGTAATCCATGTCCGTGTCAGTATGTGCCTTGGTCTTTTAGCAAGCAAGCACAAATGCCCTCCCCTGTAATAGAATGTGGCTCAGCTAATGTAATTAAATTGTGCCAAAGTGTGATTAACTTGAATGCAGATACTCTAGCCAAATTTTTTTTGATGAATAACTGATTACTTCATTGAATTTAAAGGAAAGTGTACAAGAGAAAGTGAGAGAGAGACAAGCTCTCTTATCTCTCCCCTTTAATTTTAGTTATAATTACAACTACATTTGAGCCCAAAATGTTTGAATTCTCCCAACCCCTTGCTTGGCTAGCGCATCGG